AGATTCGTTATGAGATGATTCAATATACTGGAAAAAAAACATCACTATAAATACTGAAAAATACTAAAATGCAATTTTTTGAAGTTTTGTTAACAAGTCAATAAATTGTATTTAAAATATAAATGTTTATTTGTGTAATAAAATTTGTGTAGTATAATATAATATACTAGTATATTAAACTAGTACTAGTATATTTAATCTATGATAGTATTAACTAATAACTAATAAGTAATATACTAATATCTAAATAGAACTTATATTCACCTCAGATGAACTACTTTGTTCAATAAAAATATCACTGCAAGATTCACCAACCTAAAAATGTAAAACCATAAATTAAAATGTCAACTACCTAATGTTTTTTAATTACAATTTTTAAGTTTGAATGAATTTAAAAAATATGTATACTTATTAATTATTATAGATATATAAATAATGAACATTCAAATTTAAAAACAAAATATATTTAAGTTATACTATATTTTACATTGGGCAATCCTTGAATAACAATAGATTTCCACTGTTCCAAATTTGAAATAAACCTAGCTCTATGGCCAGCAATAGGTATCAATTCTTTGATTATTTCGTAGTTTAGACAGGGAAGTGTCTTCATGTCAATGTCATTGGCTATTCAAAACAAAAAATCTTAAATTGTAATAAACTTAGCTTTTCTTAACAAAAAAATATTTGATTTTTGAGAAAAAATCTGCCCTAAGTAGGTTCATAAGAAATAAAAAAAAAATTCATTAATTTTAGTACCTATCCTAATGTAATTAGGCGATAAAGATATTGTATATAATATGAAATACCTATATTATATTTTCATTTGCATAGTATTGCAATTGATTATTATTATTTTAATATTTAAACAGGACGTCAAACTCACATGTGTTGTCTTACTAATGTACAACTTGAAAAATTTGTGTTCAGCAGAATCCATGTTATTTTAGATTAAATATTAGAACAAATTTACCTATTATCAATCTTAAATGTGAGAATATTATCTAAAACATCTCATAGGATTTTATTGAACTTTCATTTTAAAGTGAGTACCTATACCTAGTGGCTAGTATACCTATGGGCTATAGCTATGTAAAATATTACAACTTTAAAATTATGTTAAAATTATAATGATAATAAAATCCTATGAGAAGCTCTAGATAATGTTCTCACCTTTTAAGTTTGATCATAGGTAAATTTACTGTAATAAGTACTAAATATAAAAACTTGAATGATAAAATTGATTCTGCTGTACGGAAATTTGCTATTTTGTACGTTTGTAAGATGGAAACATAACACGCGGGCGCAACGTCCTGTTAACACACACAAGTTATAATAGACCTAACTACCTATGTAAGATAAGACTTATTAGTATTGACCACGGCTTTACAACTATCTCACGCCATGGTATTGTTCTTAGATATTATCCAAACAGCCCATACATTTTTTCAATTATGAATTAATTAATTATTTTTATTAAACTTACCTTGGAACGTATCAATATATTGGGATAGTTCCCAAGCAGATAGAAAGTCGGCTATGTCATCTCTGCTATTACCATTGGCCATACTTGAAAGTAAATTGAAAAACAAAATTTACAGAGCACTAAATAAAAGTTGAAATAAAGTCTGGAACAAGCGTAGTGAAAGAAAAACGGATATTCCTTGTTGAAAACACACTAAACACAGTCACTAATAGTCGAGTAGGGTATAATAATTAATAGTGCCGACTGCCGATGGCGACAAAAATAGATGGTATTACCCCAATACCACACATAATTTGTTATCTACACCAATTATTCGGTGATCATATCAAAACAAAACGTTTCCTATAACCAACCGTCTTGTAAGTTGTATCAAGTAGTTGTAACATAGATATTATATATTATATAATACGTAATTATTATTGTTTATTAAAATTTACCGAACTATTGTATTACCAACACATTATTTTGTGTGAACAGCATACAAATATTCGTTACATTCAAATAAGACCTGTAAATGATACCAAACCTTACTCCAGTATATTTAAATTGTTAATTCTCATAAATAACTGTTATTATAATACACTTTTAAGTTAATACAACAAAATAATTTTTAACAGTAATACATTTGAACGTGTAGCTAATTATGAAGTTATGATAACAAACGACTTTGGTAAAAGTTACAATGTTCTGTTTGTGTCTACCTTTTATTATCTAACTAACCGTTTTTGTTAATTGGTAAAGCAATATTTTTTTCAGTGTACAAAATTTCTACCAGAAGGAGTTCTTCGATTTAAACATATAATACCTTATATTTTAGCAAATAGGATCAAGATGGTACTTTAGAGAGGTCATTTTTCGATAGTTACTTAATGCCACGGTAAAAACCATCGAAAAATTACAAAAAATCTCTAAAAATGGGATTTTAATTTCCAACGCTTTGTTGATTACCATAGAAACGATGTTTGTTTTAAATTATCGGCGACGGCCTAGGACGAAATTCGGAATCGGCTCATTTGCAATATTCTGACTACATACACTCTCATTGTAAGTATAACCTGCAGTAAAAGTTACCGAGTTATATAAAATATATAACGAAGCATCCCACCAAGTCGAATCGATCATAATAATGGAAGTAATAGACAGCAATATTATTACCAACATCGAGTACGAGACGATGGTTGAAAGATACTTTACGACTTCCAAGGAGAACCCCGACGATTGCGGATTCGGAGGAACTTCTATATTATGCAGCACAGTAGGCAGGCGGCGATGCGTCGAACATCTTAAGCAACTGGACGACGACGGGTCCAAAACTGCTGCAGGACAAGTTGAAGCGGTAAGAGACGACGTCGTGGTCTCAGCGCTGGCTGTGGAGTCTTCCTGCACGAAGAGTCGAGAAGTACCCCGGCCAGGGGAACAGAGGTCACAGGAACTGTTTCAGGGACTTGGTCGACTGGCTGCAAGACCTGAGGGGTACACCGGCAATACGTTATTCAAGGAAAAATGCGTCTGAGAGTCTCCGAGGGCAGTGGACAAGGCGAGGCGATGACGTGGGGTCGAGCTAGAAGTAATAGTGCATTTTCGCGGTGATCGGCGGTAAGTAGCCGATTCATGCGGTTCTCGGGCCACCGCGGTGGCGGCGCGACGGGATTCCGGACGTCGGTGGCGTCATTTGCCCCAGTCTAGAATTTACATCAACCTTAAGCCAGCACATTTACTACACCCTCCCACCCTTAACCATTATGGTCTATGGCACTATGCTATGTGAATCTGACTAAAAAAAATTTTACGCCGACGATTTGTCTCAATCGTAAAGGTGTTTTATGCTCAATCGTGTCTCAGCCGACACAGAGGAGGCGGCCGCTAATCGATTTTCACTTTCCTCCAAAATGCCGACAACAGCGTCGTTAGTTGTGGTCATCTTTATTCCTTTGCTTGAAATATGAGAATATGCGGCACTCGACGAATAGGCGTGATAAACTTAAATCGAATGGACGGACGCCTCGGAATTGCTCGTTTCTTCTCTAAGTTGTCTCTCGTACATTTTTTTAGAGTGGTTGGAATACACGGTCAGTAGCGCACACTCAAAAATAAATAGGGGTAGCATCGGTTACCTCTATATTGGCTAATAGACTAATGGCTATAGCCTATAATTATTCAATAGTTTATTTTCAACATTTTTATAAGTAGTAGAACTTTCATGATGTAAATATTTTGGAGCCATGGGGTCCACCCACCCACCTAAAAAAAATCAGGGGTAGCAACTGCTACCCTTGAACCCTCCAGTGTGCTCCACTGTACATGGTGTTATTATGGCCACATAATATTATGATACTCCCATTGAGTGGGCTTTGGTTTATTGTTAATGTAGGGGAATCTACCGAGGGCCCTGAATATTTTGTAAAGTAGAAATAATATAGACAACAAATCTCTCTTGTGTAAAGAAAAATAATATACACAATTCTTAATTTCCTATATGTGTCAACAATGACCTTCTTATGTGATGTTTCCATAGGCGTGACTAGATTTCATCGGCAGTGGCAGTCTAGCTAATAACCAGCGCTGCCTTATTAGTGAACTGAAAAAAGCCCTACACAACCAAAGTCATATTTTAGACCCCCCCCCCCCCCCACCACAATTAAATATTTATATAATATAAAAAAAGTCTAAATTATCTATTTACAATAATAATCAATGAAGTTACTACTTCAGAAACATTATTCATCTACAGCCTTAGATTACACCACCTAGCTACAAATAAAAAATAATACATTCTTACGGTGTACCGTACCGTCGTTCTCTGTCTCAAGTCTTTATAGTAGGTATTTCCGATTTCGGAAGTCAGGAAATCAATCTTTGTTAGTAAATGGTAATTATAACGATACCCACAAAAAGATCAAGTTTAAATAAATGTTGTAACTCTTCTGACTTAAAACTTGGTTGACCGACACCTTTCAAAAATTGTAGGTGCAGCCCAGGCACCCTAGGCTGCCACCGCAGACACGCCTATGGATGTTTCAGAATAAAATATCACTATCAAAACCTCAAATGTGCAAAAACAATGTACCTAGGTAATATCCTTTTTGAATACAACAATGTACTTAATAATAATAAGAGTCCAATTTCATTTCTAAACATAAATATATTTTGAAATTTGAAAACTTGGTGAAAACCCTTTGGTGAGTACCTACACACAAATAAACTAAATAAATTATCATATCTATTGCGTTTTCGAAGAAATAATTTCAAAGTAAATTTTTACATTGACAAATGTTTATTTGTGCTGTTTAATATTTTAAATTTTATACTCATTACATATTTTACATTTTACATTACACGGCTATAGAATATTTTACAATTTTACAATTTTACAATAATTATAGGTATTACAATTAATATTTTACAAGTTATTTACGAAATATAGGTACATGGGTTTTGGCGGGGTATTTAGATATGATAATATCCAAGTTAGACTTTTCATGTGTGCGATCCTCCAGTGCAGCGTCTGTAAGTATTACGACGGAGCCGTATTTTGACTTCCGGTCGGAGCACCGGAACCAGATCGACGCATCGGTGGGGGTGGGTGAGAAAACATTGACGCGGCCGCGCAGCACGGTAGTGGTGGCGGGCCGTTCACATCAAACCACACCGGTCCCACGTAATATTCCGGGGGTGGCTTTGGCGGAAAACTGAAGCCCACGACCACAATGCTTTCCAAGCCCGGGGGCGGTGGCTGCCACGCCATGTACATGGCTGGGCCCACGTAGAGTTCCTGCCACGCTGGGAAACCGAAGCGTGTGCCTCCCACGCTTTCAGGACTGAAAGTCGGTGGGTGCCATGTCACGTACTTGGCCGGGCCCACGTAGCTTTCCGGGAGCAGGGGCGACGGAAATCCTCGGGAAATCCACTTGCGAAAACGCATCTGAAGGGACGGAGGAGCACGTCGTTTGCCTTATATACAAAAGGATAATCACATAAATTATTATAATATTATTATTACGAAGTCGGTGTGCGATTCGCTTGACCGACCGCTTGATTAACCTAACTTGCACAACTACAGTCGTCTTCAGCACCGGAAGTACCGTCAACTCGGCCTCCTGCGCAGGTCATCTCGAACTATCCAACGTCGTCGCCTTCGCGTCCCGAGCAAACGCACCCGCGACTCTCGTCCACCCCGCAGGATCAACCTTGAGACACTGTGGAGGTTACCAGTAACCATCATCATCTGCGTCACCACCCACTCACCACACGTACCCCCAACATCGCCTCGTCTTTTCTGATGTCTTTCTTTTTCGTTAAAATTATTATGTTTATTGTTTTTTGCAACTTTTTTTGTATTATTTTTCATTTTTTCGGTGTAAATAGTTAAAAATTATAAATCACTCATTCATTATCTGAACATACATTGTTTAATAGTTTAATTGTTAATTTAATATTGTGATGTAATACAAAAATTCTGTTTACACAGTAAAATGTTGTTTCTTATTTTTTGTAATAAGTATTACGATTTTATTTATTTCTACAGAATAATTTTTTTCAATGGGTAATTGTCAATCAATAATTTTTTGCTCGATCATAGAACTTGAAATTGTGATCAAAGATTCCTTATAAGTTATTTAAAGTGTAATTAAAAATATTGAGCTTAAATCCACACTACATATTTATGATTGGCTGAACTTGGAATTTTGACGGAATTCGTCAAAATCACGTAAATGTGCAAATTATTTTTCAGTTAAAAAACATAGACAGAAGTAACAACTAAAAGCAAGTAAAAGTAAATACTACGCCGATCCGTAAATTTCCCACCATAAAAGATACTGAAGTTGAAAATCGAAGCATTATTTCGATTACTTATCGTGTACACAGACACAACAAATATACAATATACGTATTACTGTAAAATCAATACATTCATCGGTCCACTCAGAATCTAAAATGATAAGCACGCATACACGAGATATAATTTATGTCTATACGATATTATAATTTAAATTTCCTAAACACTATCCAAATAACACCTAAATACATTGTTTGACATTAGAAATGTGTAGGTATAATATATTATCATCTGCACTATAGTTTGAACTTGCGGAATTGTTACTTGGGGGGGGGGTTATTATTTTGGATACATTAACGATATATTTTTACAAAAGAGTTTATGTATAATGATATTTATTATCTACATAATATATAGGTATGGTAAAATGAGGTAGATTATACATTTATACTGAATAATGTATATTATTCAACATAGTATAATAGATAGTAATAATAGATAGTTTAAATAATTAAATTTTTAAAACTTTTTAAAATTTACAATTTAAAATGTTTTACAATAGCCATTCATACATATATTTTAGATTTCATAATATTTTATTTAAAAAAATTATTTATTTATTACTATTTAATATATCTAGTATAAAAACAATTTTATTTAAAGTATAAAAATAAAAATAATAAGTGTTAAATGTGTAAATGTGAAAATGTACCAACGTACGGCTATCGAATAAAAAATTGTAACGATTTTAGTTGATGTATTAAAATGTGGGTTCTCACTAATAAAATTATAATATTATGTACAATACTATACATAATGTATACCAGCGATAAACTTATATTCAATAACTATACTATAACTATATCTACATATTATAGGTATATAATGTATCGTTTAAAAATTTTTTTTGCAGAAAGTCAAAGAAAAAATATTTAGAGGTCATAGAGAGTTGATTCCGCGGCATTCAGTGGCACAAATAAAAAACAATTTGAATGTGATTGTAGGATTATATTATATTTATTAAAACCTAACGTAATTTGATTAAAATGATTGTCTCACCACTTTTACTATAATATTAATGAAGTTTTCATTATCTTATGGTTACAAGTTTTGTACATAATATATCATGCACGAAAATATGAACGTGAAAATAAAATGCTATAAATATTTCCCAAAGGTTTCTTACCGAACGGAATAGACTGCTTCTTCTGTTTGTAGACGGACATATAATAAAGTTTACCTAACGCACGTTTACCTACACAGGAAGTCAGGAAGTTGCTATATAAATTACCAATAAAATGGTTCCTTGCGATTAAAGATTTTCGAACCACTAAACCACGAAATACGTGTTAGTGTGTTACCTATATACGTACCTCTAGGACTTATAATCACAGCCTAGATTAGTAGGTATAACACGCGATTTCGTGAGTGAAATAATTTTAAAGAAAGCGCGGTCGGTATATTATAATCATTGAATTTTGACGTTTAGCAGTTATAACAACACAGACTCTTTGGACATTGAGTATAATAGTATATACATATTATACTTTCACATGGATGTAGTACTGTAGTTATTTGCATTTATTGCATATTATTTTATATCACTGCAGATGTATATATATATATTATATTATGTGTATATGCACCACAACTCACAAGTATTTATTAATTTAGAGTGGTTGGGTATAATGTAGTTTTCGTTAAGCTCGCCATTTTCCTAATAGTTATGTCCATCTGACACTCTATAGATATTATATTATATATTTATACTACAGTGTGATCCTGCATAATATAACATTTATTAATAAAATAAGTTGTGCAGATTAAGTAGTTATTAAATCATATTCTTTTTAAGAATAATTAGGTATAGGTACATATAATATACGAAACTGCTGCAACAGTTACCTAACCTAACTGAAAAAACAACTTATATTTTTTAAAACTATATCCAATATAGTTGTATTGTACTGTGATATAGGCACCGTACCTAACAATAATAATATAACATAATATATTATATTCGTTCAGAAAGGTTTATTGGATAATATTTTATTGTTATACTAGCTGTATACCTATATCACTAGACACCGTTCGGGAAAAAATTAATAAACATAAAAATCCTACTTGGGAACAGGCCACATAAACTCAACCGTAGAACGAAAATAAGGTAACAGTAGGTTGATACCACAATACACGATCGAGTATACTCGACCAATTTGTTGAGATTTTTTGGAGGGCATTGCACTATAAATTTTCCTCAAATTAATTAAAAATACCTATTTTGTAATATTTTTGATTAATTGTAATTGAATCGTGAAAATAAGAAATAGCACAGCTAAAATTTTAACTACAAGTAAATTGGTAACCGGCAAGAATTACAAATGGGAAACGGTTGTCCCTGCAGGCTATATAACGATGGAAGAATTATAATGTTAGGTCAATCGACCACTGACGGGAAATAATTATTAAATAGCCTATATAACACTCGATGAGACAACTTAATAATATAATAATTTATCGTTTTTTTTTTCTGTCACATTCCAATGGAAATTAGAAAACATTTTATTTTAGTATCTTAAGGACACAATTCATGACGTGTGTGCCAGCCTTTTTAGATACAAAAAAAAAAAATTGGGTCAACGTGTCTATACGTATCTATTCAACGTATTATTATAATTTTTATTGAAATTACTATTTAGTGCAGCCGTTTTCGTGCCTAAAAAAAAAAAAACATACATAGACTATAGTAGAGGTACACTGATTCATATAAACTATATAGTATGAATCATATAGGTATAGATTGTAAACACATTTTGGAAAATCACCGAGGTTTTCCGGTTTACTGCAGTTCTACCTAGCTTAGCGGGGTTCCACTACCTTTTTTTTTGAGAAAAATAGACCTAAAGGTTTATATTGTGTTCAATATTGTTCAAACGTATACCTACTCACTTGAGTGTTACACTGATAATAGTTTTGAAAACATATTTTAATTTATAATGAATTTCGTTTTAAATATTTCAGTCGGAAATACAAAAAAAAATTTAAATCTATATTTTTCCTATTGAAATTTATATAAATTTAAAATACGAAATTTTTTTCTTAATTTCAAGTGAAATTTTCTTCCTGAGTATAATAAATCAAACATGTGGTTCAAAGATTCGACTTAACAACAAAATAAAATCAGATATCAAAATTATTATTGGTATAAAACTCACGTCGGTATACGTCGGAAAGCGTCTATTTTGCTCTGAAAAAATGGTAGGTATAGTGCGTTTGGGCAGCGAATTGTATACGAATATTATAATTGTTCCTACCGAAAGAATTCGTACTCGAACGGTTCAGACAATTCGTTCGTGTTCGTTCTCCACCGTGGTATAATATAGCCTTCGCGGTTATGGTCCCGAGCGCAAGCGATTCGTTGTGACGGGCCGAATGTCATTCACACTGAATTGCGTTTTATTTGATCTTATACCATAGTTACCGCCACCGCGGTCGCGAACGATTGGCACGAATTCGCGTTCGCGGCCTATAATGTAAACGCAAACCTTTACTGCAAAAAATCCACCGATAAAAAAAAAATAAATATTTATTTCGACTATACCTACTGCAGCAGATAGTGTAATAATTTATAATGCATATTATTATTATTATTATTATTATTATTATGTAAATGTGTACGTCGCTTGTAAAATTACTTACTAAGCCATCGCAGACTGCAGTATACAAGCTCGTCTACACGGTGGTAGTCGGTATAGTCTATATTATAACGACCACCCCAAGTGTAAAAAAAGATTGTAATAAATGTTTACACAGGACAAAAAGGCCTACCGTGTAATTCTTTTCTTTTTCAGACAATATTCCTGCACGAAACGACCCTCGGCCCAAGATGACTGCCACATGGCACTGCATTATATAGTACTAATATACAAGTATAATATTATATGCGTTATTATAGTATATATATATATAGGTGGCGTCCGTCGAAGTTAAGTCATGCCGAAGAGAATTATTATTATTTATGAGTTGTCCACGCGGGAAGAGTGTCGCAGCGTGTGCTGTATAGAGTATAGACGTCTTTTTCAATACATTTGCAAACAAAACAAAACAGCAATAATAATAATAATAATCATATTTTGTGCGGCGGT